ATGACTATTTTCTCGTCACTGATTACGGGTGTGATGGTTGTTATAACCCGGTGCGTAGTTATAATTTTTTTCCCATCACCGATTATGATTGTTACAATCATTATTTTCTCGCGCATAACTATACCCCTATTGTGATAATAGCAATTCCTATTTTCTTCGATTGTCCCTGTTATTCCACTAAGGGCAACTATTGTGACCATTAAAATTTCTATTATTATAATTATTATAACTGAACGTGTAGTTATTATTTTTGCGATGGTAATTTCTAGGGTCAGAATTTCTGTGCTAATCATCGTACGCGAGTCTTCCTTCATCAATTTTGTCGTTCATTTCTGTTAGTCTCTTGGGCGGTTCTGTTTGAGGCTTATCGAGGTCTTTATTCTTCGGTTTTTCGTATTTATCCGTATTTTTTCGCACCTCTCCGTAGCTTTCCGCACCCACTTGTAATGTGCAGGCACGATTCCTGACAATATGAGCAAAATTATACATCCCGGTTGCTATCCCATTCATCCGTATTACTCTTTTCCTCCGGCACATCGCTAATTACCATGCCTCTCCTTGGGTTTTTCTTACCAAAACAACTCTCCCATGTTGCATATGCGCTAAAATTTGACGTAGACTTAACTTGTTGTCTACATCTTTTTTTTTACTTTTTTATATTTAAGGGTTCTGTCCTCTGTTAAGGTATTGAAACTAGCTTTATTTAGGCCTTTGGTACACACACTTATACGGTTTACAAACAAGCTGTAATTCACAGTACGAGTATGAAGATATGTAGTGTGCGCTTATCATATTGATGACGGAATATATATATATATATATGTGTGTGTGTGTGTGTGCGTGTGTGTACATATATATTGAGACAAGAAAAAAAATATATTACAACTATACTTTAATATTACCATTGGAATGAAATTTATCAATAACAATACAGGCTTCGATGATGGGTTCGGCAACTATGCATTCTATGTTAAGGAGACAGGCTGATGTTAATCAGTTTTTAAACATACATGATCTCTGAACATTATACAGATTACAAATTACAATTCCAAAATTACTTTTTTTAAGTCTTCTTCTTCGTAACCACACTTACATTTTGGGTCGCTTAGTATATTTTTTCGAAATAGAGATTCAGCGAGGCTGTGATGGTTTGCGCGCATTCTGTTAATAGTCACTATGACCGATCTGGGAAGCCGCATTTTACTAAACCAAGTTCGTTTGCTGGGAGAGAACATAATTTAAAAATTAATATTTTAAGCTTCTGAGGCGTCGAGAAAATTGTGTTTTACCGTTTCATTTGGGGTAAGCCAAGATTCAATGCAGACTATTAAAACGAATTTTGTCGAGATTTTTTTTATTTTCAGAAATTTAGGTGCATTACTTCTGGTGTTCTAAAATAAATTTTTTAGAGTCGACTTAAAGAAAAAAGTTGTGTTGGATAACAAGAGTTAATCTATTTATTGCGTTATAGATTGTAAGATTTTGTCTAATAAGCTCAAATAAAATAAATAAACTATGAAATAGAGGAAAGATATAAAATAGTAAAGTTTATCTGACTAAAAAATCACTACTCATTGAGGAATCTGTAACTGATTTAAATTCACTCTGGTTAGACAGTCTCTGCGCCAGCCTTTTGACACGGTTGCTAAATCTTCTATTTTCGGAAAGCTCAGAAACAACTTTTAGTGATTGGATTAGCTCTTCAGAAGAATTACCTGTTTCTGTCACAATACTTAATAATTCCGTCTTACCGTAAGCGCTGAAGATAAATTTTTCAATCTTGCTTAAGTCTACCGGGTAGGTCGGTGGTTGTTGTCGAGGCTGCTAGTGTTGATGACGGAAATTCGCTGTATGAGCTGATAGTAACAGTAAAAGTTAGCTGTCTTTCCTGAAAGTTTTTTGGAGATACGGTCTTGAGGTTGTTGACGTTGTAGAGAGATGTCACTTTTGGCATTTTTAAGGTTAGGGTGGCCCCGCAAGCAGGACCACACACTTTTTTCCAATCGCTTAGATTGGATTATCTATCAAGATAATCGCACTAATTTGTATCACGGTTTGCGTCATGAGTTATCATTCTTCTATTATGTAGCCGTTGCGCCCGGCTGCAGTACTGAATAACTGCCTCGCTGTTCAGCAAAGTTAGTGACTTTAGTTGGGCTAGCTGTGTATCGATGCCTCCCATGCTCCTGAATCGTCATGATAGAGCAAGTAAAAATGCGTCTATGGTATAAAACAGCGATAATCCGATGCAAAGTTGATCTGCAGCCATCCTCTTAAGTTTACCGCCTAGTGTAACTATGAAGTATTTTTCGTTTGGGGCGGAACTGCTAGATTTTCTGTTCTCACCTGTTCAAAAAGCGAAAAGTTTATTGGATCTCCAATGAATATAGGGAAGCCACTCGCCACGCTATTGACATTGGACAGCGTGCACTATAGTGCATGTTAAAAGGGTACGTGTTTTTCGTTCGCTGTTGACTTGTGATGGGATTTATGTAAGTTGGATTTAGCTGCGCTTGATATTGCTGTTCTCGCAAAATGTATTTCCCGTTCATGTTGGTATCCCAAAACGGCCAGTCAGATGACGGTGCTGTCAGTTGGCTTCTTGCCCTTTCATTTATTGGGCTCTTAGGTTCGTAGCTGGGTCCAGCATCATGAATTCTCGCGCCCGCAAAACTTGGGATTTCCGTTTGCTGCCCCCCATACATTTTTACCTCTTCCGACGTCTGTGACGTTAAGCCCCAATTGTTTTTATGGCTAAGTACTAATTTCCTACAATTTGGTGTTGGTGTTCTCTCCGAAAACTGTGGCTCACATTCCTGTGCTGTTTGCTGCGCCACTTGCTTTTCTCTTGGTCTAAACGCATGCTAAAGTATGTCCTGTGTATTATAACTGTCGATCCTATCTCTCGAGTGCAAGTTTACGTCCCTCAAAATTTCGCTCATCCCATCTTTAGCTGTATACTCCGCATTCTTTACGGGTGACATATTTACCACGTCGTTTCTTACGGTGTTTGAATTTTCTGCACCTGCCTCCATTATGCATGTCGTTGTTTGCGAGACTCTCTTCCTAATTACCACTGGTTTCATTTTTTTTTTAAATTGTAACATTAGCATACGCTATTTTTTGCCCATTTTTTTTCATTCCATTTGATTTCATGGTCTTAGGGTGTGCATGAAGTAAATAGTCGAGGAACTAGTATTAACATCTTAATTTATGCAAAACGAGAGAAGAGCACGTCGCAAGTGTAAAATTTTTGTCCTTATCGGTTCCAACCAGAGAGAGCGCTCCTTTTAGCATCCTATCTCCCACCTCTCTGCTTTTTCCTACTACAATCATCCTTAGTAGGGCCCAAAAAGAGGGGTCGCACATACGTGTAGCTTTGATATCGTACGTGACAGCACCTTATGGTGCTCGTTCTTTGCTGTACTAGATCTAGAGAATAAATAGTAATAGAAAGTATTTAAAATTACAAAACGGATCCAAAANAGTAGGGCCCAAAAAGAGGGGTCGCACATACGTGTAGCTTTGATATCGTACGTGACAGCACCTTATGGTGCTCGTTCTTTGCTGTACTAGATCTAGAGAATAAATAGTAATAGAAAGTATTTAAAATTACAAAACGGATCCAAAAGAGCACAATGTAAACTCCAAGAACTTGTAACCCGTTATTATTAACATAAACATAGAACATAGTGACACAAGTCTCTTAATAATACGATAAAATACTAAGAATGATAGTAGTAATAATAATGATAACAATGATGAAGATAATAATGATGATAATGATACTAATGATGATAACGGCGTTTAAAATAAAAATAATCATAATAATAATGATGATGATAAAACAAATAGGAATAATAGTTGTAATAATAATAAGGACAATAAACATGATAAAGATATGAATGATAATAAAATGATGCTAACGATAATAATCATATAAGTATCGGATATGGTAATAAAAAGAAGTTATTATTATTATAACGATGGTGATAATGATAATAAAAATACTGGTAATATTAATAATGAGAATAATAATTATAATAATAATTATAATAATAAGAATAATAATAATAATGATCGTAAATTTAGAAAAATTACAAATAAAAAATTTTAGAAATAAAAATAATAATAATATCGATGTATAATACAGTAAAATTTTTAGAGTCGACTTATAGAAAAAAGTTGTGATGGATAACAAAAATTGATCTTTTTATTGCGTTATAGATTGTAAGATTTTGTCTAATAAGCTCAAATAAAATAAATAAACTATGGAATAGAAGAAAGATATAAAATAGTAAAGTTTATCTGACTAAAAAATCACTACTCATTGAGGAATCTGTAACTGATTTAAATTCATTTTGGTTAGACAGTCTCTGCGCAAGCCTTTTGATGGGGTTGCTAAATCTTCTATTTTCGGAAAGCTCAGAAACAGCTTTTAGTGACTGGATTAGCTCTTCATAAGAATTACCTGTTTCTGTCACAATACTTAATAATTCCATCTTACCGTAAGCGCTGAAGATAAATTTTTCAATCTTGCTTAAGTCTACCGGGTAGGTCAGTGGTTTTCGACGAGGCTGCTAGTGACGATGACGGAAATTCGCTGTATGAGCTAATGGTAACAGTAGAAGTTAGTTGTCTCTCCTGGAAGTTATTTGGAGATACGGTCTTGAGGTTGTTGACGTTGTAGAGAGATGTCACTTTTGGCATTTTTAAGGTTAGGGTGGCCCCGCAAGCAGGACCTCACACTTTTTTTCCAATCGCTTAGATTGGATTATCTATCAAGATAATCGCACTAATTTGTGTCACGGTTTGCTTCATGAGTTATCATTCTTCTATTATCTAGCCGTTGCGCCCAGCTGCAATATTGAATAACTGACTCGCTGTTCAGCTAAGTTAGTGACTTTAGTTGGGCTTAGCTGTGTATCGATGCCTCCCATGCTCCTGAATCGTCATAATAGAGCAAGTAAAAATGCGTCTATGGTATAAAACAGCGATAATCATATGCAAAGTTGATCTGCAGCCATCCTCTTAAGTTTACCGCCTAGTGTAACTATGAAGTATTTTTCGTTTGGGGCGGAACTGCTAGATTTTCTGTTCTCACCTGTTCAAAAAGCGAAAAGTTTATTGGATCTCCAATGAATATAGGGAAGCCACTCGCCACGCTATTGACATTGGACAGCGTGCACTATAGTGCATGTTAAAAGGGCACGTGTTTTCCGTCCGCTGTTGACTTGTGATGGGATTTATGTAAGTTGTATTTAGCTGCGCTTGATGTTGCTGCTCTCGCAAAATGTATTTCCCGTTCATGTTGGTATCCCAAAACGGCCAGTCAGATGACGGTGCTGTCAGTTGGCTTCTTGCCCTTTCATTTATTGGGCTCTTAGGTTCGTAGCTGGGTCCAGCATCATGAATTCTCGCGCCCGCAAAACTTGGGATTTCCGTTTGCTGCCCCCCATACATTTTTACCTCTTCCGACGTCTGTGACGTTAAGCCCCAATTGTTTTTATGGCTAAGTACTAATTTCCTACAATTTGGTGTTGGTGTTCTCTCCGAAAACTGTGGCTCACATTCCTGTGCTGTTTGCTGCGCCACTTGCTTTTCTCTTGGTCTAAACGCATGCTAAAGTATGTCCTGTGTATTATAACTGTCGATCCTATCTCTCGAGTGCAAGTTTACGTCCCTCAAAATTTCGCTCATCCCATCTTTAGCTGTATACTCCGCATTCTTTACGGGTGACATATTTACCACGTCGTTTCTTACGGTGTTTGAATTTTCTGCACCTGCCTCCATTATGCATGTCGTTGTTTGCGAGACTCTCTTCCTAATTACCACTGGTTTCATTTTTTTTTTAAATTGTAACATTAGCATACGCTATTTTTTGCCCATTTTTTTTCATTCCATTTGATTTCATGGTCTTAGGGTGTGCATGAAGTAAATAGTCGAGGAACTAGTATTAACATCTTAATTTATGCAAAACGGGAGAAGAACACGTCGCGTGTGTAATTTTCTTGTCCTCATTGTTTCCAACCAGAGAGAGCGCTCCTTTTAGCATCCTATCTCCCATCTCTCTGCTTTTTCCTACTACAATCATCCTTAGTAGGGCCCAAAAAGAGGGGTCGCACGTACGTGTAGCTTTGATATCGTACGTGACAGCACCTTATGGTGCTCGTTCTTTGCTGTACTAGATCTAGAGCATAAATAGTAATAGAAAGTATTTAAAATTACAAAACGGACCCACTAGAGCACAATGTAACCTTCAAGAACTTTTAACCCGTTATTATTGACATAAACAGAGAACATAGTGACATAAGTCTCTTAATAATACGCTCTATGTAACATCGACTCAATTATTTTTTTACTTGATTTTAAAAGCACTTGATTTAGTGGCACTACAGACGATAATATAAAAGATCTGGGACTTAGTGGCTGTGTGAGTGAGNGCCCAGGGGCAATACATATCATAGTTTTAACCTCTACAATCAGCGAGAAAACCAAAATAGTCGATATAATCATGGAAAAAATTATGAAGATAATAATTATTTATAAGACTGATGTTAAGGATAATGACGATTACTATAATGTTGAGGATAATTAAGATGTTGATATTAATTTAGATCCTGATGCTATCTTTAATTATGTTGATTGCTATGTTGATTTAGTTAATCATGACAATATCAATAATTCTAACTGAAATGTTGATAATAAGGATATACTGATGATGATAATGATGATGATGATGATAATAATGATGATGATGATGATGATGATGATGATGATGATGATGATGATGATGATGATGATGATGATGATGATGATGATGATGATGATGATGATGATGATGATGATGATGATGATGATGATGATGATGATGATGATGATGATGATGATGATGATGATGATGATGATGATGATGATGATGATGATGATGATGANAAATAAATATTTTTTCAATAATAATGCTGAAAAGTATCGTAATAAAGATTGTTATTAAAGTCGTAATAATAATGATACTTCTGATTATGATAATAATGATGATGATAATAAAAATGACGACGAGAATAAAGACGATGATAATAATGACGACGATGATGATAACGATGATAATGATGATGATGATAGTGATTATAAGGTTGATAATAAAATTGATAATAATAATGACGAACATCACGATAATAACAAAGATAATGTAACAAATGACTATAAGAATGATGATGATAAAATTAGATGATAGTTACATAAAGTACTTCTACTGTTACCATCAGCTCATACAGCGAATTTTCGTCATTGTCACTAGCAGCCTCGTCGAAAACCACCGACCTACCCGGTAGACTTAAGCAAGATTGAAAAATTTTTCTTCAGCGCTTACGGTTATACGGAATTATTAAGTATTGTGACAGAAACAGGTAATTCTTCTGAAGAGCTAATCCAGTCACTAAAAGTTGTTTCTGAGCTTTCCGAAAATAGAAGATTTAGCAACCCCGTCAAAAGGCTCGCGCAGAGACTGGCTCACCAGAGTGAATTTGAATCAGTTACAGATTTCTCAATGAGTAGTGATTTTTTAGTCAGATAAACTTTACTATTTTATATCTTTCCTCTATTTCATAGTTTATTTATTTTATTTGAGCTTATTAGACAAAATCTTACAATCTATAACGCAATAAATAGATTAACTCTTGTTATCCAACACAACTTTTTTCTTTAAGTCGACTCTAAAAAATTTATTTTAGAACACCAGAAGTAATGCACCTAAATTTCTGAAAATAAAAAAAATCTCGACAAAATTCGTTTTAATAGTCAGCATTGAATCTTGGCTTACCCCAAATGAAACGGTAAAACACAATTCTCTCGACGCCTCAGAAGCTTAAAATATTAATTTTTAAATTATGTTCTCTCCCAGCAAACGAACTTGGTTTAGTAAAATGCGGCTTCCCAGATCGGTCATAGTGACTATTAACAGAATGCGCGCAAACCATCACAGCCTCGCTGAATCTCTATTTCGAAAAAATATACTAAGCGACCCAAAATGTAAGTGTGGTTACGAAGAAGAAGACTTAAAAAAAGTAATTTTGGAATTGTAATTTGTAATCTGTATAATGTTCAGAGATCATGTATGTTTAAAAACTGATTAACATCAGCCTGTCTCCTTAACATAGAATGCATAGTTGCCGAACCCATCATCGAAGCCTGTATTGTTATTGATAAATTTCATTCCAATGGTAATATTAAAGTATAGTTGTAATATATTTTTTTTCTTGTCTCAATATATATGTACACACACGCACACACACACACACACATATATATATATATATATTCCGTCATCAATATGATAAGCGCACACTACATATCTTCATACTCGTACTGTGAATTACAGCTTGTTTGTAAACCGTATAAGTGTGTGTACCAAAGGCCTAAATAAAGCTAGTTTCAATACCTTAACAGAGGACAGAACCCTTAAATATAAAAAAGTAAAAAAAAAGATGTAGACAACAAGTTAAGTCTACGTCAAATTTTAGCGCATATGCAACATGGGAGAGTTGTTTTGGTAAGAAAAACCCAAGGAGAGGCATGGTAATTAGCGATGTGCCGGAGGAAAAGAGTAATACGGATGAATGGGATAGCAACCGGGATGTATAATTTTGCTCATATTGTCAGGAATCGTGCCTGCACATTACAAGTGGGTGCGGAAAGTCGCACGTACGTGTAGCTTTGATATCGTACGTGACAGCACCTTATGGTGCTCGTTCTTTGCTGTACTAGATCTAGAGAATAAATAGTAATAGAAAGTATTTAAAATTACAAAACGGATCCAAAAGNATGATGATGATGATGATGATGATGATGATGATGATGATGATGATGATGATGATGATGATGATGATGATGATGATGATGATGATGATGATGATGATGATGATGATGATGATGATGATGATGATGATGATGATGATGATGATGATGATGATGATGATGATGATGATGATGATGATGATGATGATGATGATGATGATGATGATGATGATGATGATGATGATGATGATGATGATGATGATGATGATGATGATGATGATGATGATGATGATGATGATGATGATGATGATGATGATGATGATGATGATGATGATGATGATGATGATGATGATGATGATGATGATGATGATGATGATGATGATGATGATGATGATGATGATGATGATGATGATGATGATGATGATGATGATGATGATGATGATGATGATGATGATGATGATGATGATGATGATGATGATGATGATGATGATGATGATGATGATGATGATGATGATGATGATGATGATGATGATGATGATGATGATGATGATGATGATGATGATGATGATGATGATGATGATGATGATGATGATGATGATGATGATGATGATGATGATGATGATGATGATGATGATGATGATGATGATGATGATGATGATGATGATGATGATGATGATGATGATGATGATGATGATGATGATGATGATGATGATGATGATGATGATGATGATGATGATGATGATGATGATGATGATGATGATGATGATGATGATGATGATGATGATGATGATGATGATGATGATGATGATGATGATGATGATGATGATGATGATGATGATGATGATGATGATGATGATGATGATGATGATGATGATGATGATGATGATGATGATGATGATGATGATGATGATGATGATGATGATGATGATGATGATGATGATGATGATGATGATGATGATGATGATGATGATGATGATGATGATGATGATGATGATGATGATGATGATGATGATGATGATGATGATGATGATGATGATGATGATGATGATGATGATGATGATGATGATGATGATGATGATGATGATGATGATGATGATGATGATGATGATGATGATGATGATGATGATGATGATGATGATGATGATGATGATGATGATGATGATGATGATAATGATGATGATGATGATGATGAGAATAACGTGAATGCTGATAGTGATGATAATAATACTAAACGTGGTTATTTTATTATTAATGATAATACAGCTGGTAATAATAATAATACTGCAAATATATACCCTATTTTTAAAACTTATGAAGCTGATGTTAGTAATTACGTTAGGGACGATTATGTTTTGATGATAATAAAGATGACAATGATAATGACAATAACGATTATAATAAAGTTAATGGTAATAAAAATGATAGTAATCATTTGAATTATCATGATAATAAGTATGATTTTGATGATGACGACGAAGATGATGATGATGGCGACGATGATGATAATGATGATTATGATTATCATGGTAATCATGTGGAAGTGCTTCTAATTTGAGTAGCATTATTACCGATGTTGGTGATGATGATTATGACCAAATTCATGTTAACGATGATGATGTTAAAAAAAGTTGATGTCAATATCACGAGAATAATAATGATTTAGTATATTGACAGTGTTGACAATAATAATTGTTATAATGACGAGGATAATAATGATGTTAATAAAGATGGTTATAATGTTATAAGTTGTGGATTTAATGAAGACGATGATGAATATGCTAAACATGACAATACTAAAAATCGTTTTTGTATGATCATTATGAAAATAAAGATAGTGATTTTTAGTATGATGATAGCAAAGGTAATTTTTATGGTTATAATGATCTGATAATCATAATAATGACGATAATAATCATGACAGTGATGATAATGATAATTAAAATGATCTTTATAATGATAATAATTATTATAAAAATGTAAACAATTACAATAGGGAAGGTATCAATAATAACGTACATAAAGCGAATAATGAATGTGATGATGACAATATAAGTTAAAGTTACGAAGATGACGAAAATAGTCTTAACGATGATAATACGCACAGAATAAGGTTACTTATTAATACCAATAGTTACAATAATAGAGATAATTATGATGACGGCCGATATTGTAATGATCGTTATGATAATAAAAACAATTCTGATGATAGTGCTCACAATAAAGATGATAGCAATAATAAAGATGATAACAATGATAATGATAAAGAAGATCATAATACTAATAGTAAAGTTGATGGCGACGATGAAAATAATAATAATTGTAATTATAATGATTATTATAATAATGATCATAATAATAATGATGATAATGATAATGATGATATAAATGGTGATGATGACGATAACGATAATCATGATGATGATGATAGTGATGATGATGATGATAATAATGATGATGATGATGACGATGATGATGATGATAACTATTATGATGACCATAATAAAAATAAAGAATACGATGACGATAATTATGGTAATAACCTTGATAATAGTGATAATGATGGCCGACACCATAATTATAACTATCATTATAACTATTCTTATTAATAATTACATCAATTATCATTATCATTATTATCATGCTTGTCATCATAACGATTATCATTATCATAACGATCAATATCATCATCACCGCTAGTATTATAATTAATTAAAATCATCATAATCATGATGATAATAATTAATTAACATCAACGTTTTCATTAACATTATTATCGTTAACATCAACATTATCATATACATTATGTATCATCGGTAAAAATGTTACCAAAATAAGAATCACTATCCCATAATTACCTTCATTATCATCTTCATCATTATCATGATCTTAAAAATCATTGATCTTATTTTCACTTTCAACAACGTAACAATCGTGGCAATCATCGAGATCGCTATTGGCTTCACTATTAATTTAATCTTTGTCTTTATAATTATCATTATCATAATCATCAATATTATTGATCTCATTGTTACTATCTACATCGTAGCAAACATGGTCATCAAGGCCATCATTATTATCATTTCCATCCATTTTATCATTGTTACCAATATTTTTCATAACAATCATTATTATGAATGATTGTTATAATGATAATTTTCATCTTTTTTTTAATACCATTATTATCGTTAGCATGAACATTTTCATAATTGTCATTATCATCATTACCATCATCACCGTAACCATTAGCACTATCAACATCATCTTCGATATCGTTATCATCATTTTCATCAAAATAATTAATATCATCTTCATCGCCATCAACTTTATCATTATTATTATGACCAATATTATTATTGTTATCCTTACAATCATTATTTCCTTTATATATGTACTTAAGAACACTTGTACCTTTAGAATTGTTAACATTATTATAATTAGTATCACTATTAACATTAATCATCATCACTATCATCAACAACAACATCATAAATATTATCTTCATTATTATTATAACCATTGTTATCACAAACATTATTATCATCATCATCGCCATCAACTTTATACTTAGTTTTATGACCTTCTTTATCTATATTATTGTTATCATCTTTATTATTACTATCATCTTTATTATGAGCACTACCACCAGAATTGTTTTCATCATCATAACGACCATTACAATATTGGCTATTATCATAATCATTACTATA